TTTTTTTTTTTTTTTTTTTTTTTTTGGTACCAGGGATCAAACTTGCTTGCAAGGCAGGCAACAGAACCACTGAGCTAAATCCCTGGCCCAGAACTTGATTTTTCTTTGGCAGATTTACCAAATGTAGTAGGATGACCATAACTATTATGTAAAAGTAAAAAGTGTTAATAATAATAAGTATGTGGTGATGGTAGGAATGAACTCTACTCTTTGGTAACTAGACTCTGCCATCACCCTCCTGAAAGTTGTTTGTCCTTTATACATCTTTGAGGCACAAAATATTAAAACAATTCTCCACATTTTTGACTTATAGGAGGATTCCTCAATGTCAATGTAAGTGAAGTCAGTTTTGATGAAGTACATCAGCTTTTCTCCAAGGACTTAGATATTGATCCAGGAGGTCACTGGAGGCCTAAAGACTGTAAACCCAGGTGGAAGGTGAGGCAGTTTTTTTTCATAAGTAATGTGACTATGGCTATGCATTTGACAAAAACAGTGCTTGATTCAAAGTATAGAGTGAAATACTCATTATGATTTGGTAAATTTAAGACATCAAAATTTTTGTGTTTAATGCATTGTTATTTACGGTTCCAGAGTGACTGAGTAGTGTTACTTGTGAAGATGAAATGTACCTGTGCATATGCAAGTGTGTGCATATGTGTTCAGTGTCTTGGAGTTCCTGGTGAGAAGTATATGACTTGAGTTTTACTTGGAAAATAGATTTCTTTTGGATCAGTTCTGTTTGGAAAAAAGACCATGCGTCCTTTGCCTGCTGCAGGAGTCTAGTAACTGCCAACCTGCAGGCATGGCCCCACATATCTCTGAAACTGAGAGCTCACTGGGAAGATGTCGCTATCCTGCTTTTCAGAGGAGTCTATTTCACTGGGACTGTCAAGCTCTGTTTCTCAGAAGCAGTGATTCTAAAACCATCATGCAGAAGTTATTGTGTGTATTGAGAGGAGGACTTGGGCTCTTGTGTTTCAGAAAACAATGTAGGCTTTTGATATGTCAGAATTGTATTTAATGTCTGAAAAATTACGGAGGTAGGTCTGCCTTTTCTCTAAAAATCTTGAAAACTTGTTTAAACAGCTACTGTCAATACTATGAAATTGATTAATAAGCATGCATTCATATACTGTTAAGTTTGAATAAGAATCGGTACTTGTGATTGAATCAAATGTTATGTCCTAAAGGATTATGATGTAACCTTAATTTGAAAGCAGTCTTTGGTATCTCTTTGAAAACATTAAAAAATATTTGTATGTTAGTACCCCCAAAAATAACTGGTAGAAAGGAGAATTGTATGATATTAAACTCATGGAAAGGATCCTCTAATTTCATTGACCTTGAACACTTTGTGTTTAGGGATGTGTATAATTAATGTCTGTGTCCCTGATGCAGGACAATTGTTTTGTGTAAGGTAAGCACTAAACATAATTGTATTGAATTGACTTTGAGACTAATAAATGTCTTTTTGGCTTTGTTCTAGATTATTAAGTAAATGTTCAGCTTTCTCATACAGGTTATAAACTGCTGAAATGAATTTCAGTGCAAGTTTAAGCAAAATACTCTATAATTGTCTTAGGCTATTTCCCAGTTCAAGTTTACTTAATAAATGAATCCTTTCATATTTTTAATTGAATTTCCTCATATTTGTATCTGTATGAAATATGATTCAATTTACACGAACTTTCACTTTAAAAAATGTCCTAGGCCAGTCAATTATTTTATTACTTTAGTGATGACTGTGTATGTTGATTGCTAATGGAAGACAGAAAACTCAGTCACAAAGACCATAAGGTCACAGGGAGGTAGATATAAGTGGGATATACAGTATACCCCCATGGATGTGTGCTCTGTATCAGATTAGCAGAATAATTTGGGAAAGGAAAGCAAGTGTTCTTGTCCTTTTTCTTGAAGTCAGTGTTATGTCAGATAGATTAAAATTTGATGTTTTCTTCTAATTTTCCTGGAGTATTTCAGAGTAGTAGTTCCTCCTTATAGAGATAGTGGTGGTCTGCAAACTCCCTGTTACGTAGTAGATTATAGTACTTAAAGCAGTTTCTGGAAACAAACTACCTTGGGGCTCTAAAAATTAGCTTGCTTTATGTAGGTACTATATGATACACTCTTATTTTGGTTTTTAGCAAACCTTTCTCTAAGTACAGTCTTTAGTTCTAAACTATGAAACTGCTAAAGATGTGAGGGGAATTTTAGAATCCTTCAAAGGTGAGCAGTACTTGGCCATATTTAATTGAAGAATTCCTTCCCTTACCCTTCACTTCTTATTCACATCTTAGTAATGTCTCATTCTAATATTACAATACATTATGAGAGAAAGTGAAGCAAATAACTAAATCTATATTAAATATCTGATGTTAACTTGATTCTTAATATTTAAGCCTTTTTTATTTTTTTATTTTTTTTTGAGACAGGGTCTCACTGTGTAGTTCAGACTGCCCTGGAACTCACTGTGTAGCCCAGGTTGGTCTCGAACTCACAGCAATCTTCCTGCCTCAGCCTACCGAGTGCTGGGAGTACAGGCGTGAGCCACCATGTCTGGCTTTTTTTTTTTTTTTTTTTTCAAGAGTAGGAAAAATTTATTGGGAGAAAGAAAGCTTCTGCCTAAGACAGAAGGGGGACTGGAAAGTGGGTTGCCCTGAAGGCTCTTTTTAAAACCAACTTAAGGGTAATTACCTAGTGATATCTGCAGATGCTGATGTCGCTGAGAGTGAAGATTTGTGAAGATTTCTGCACAGGTTAGACATTTTGTGAAGGCAGGCTTATTTTTGAAGGGTAGAGTGGAAGAGGAAGATGGTGATGCTTTTCAGGTAATTAAGAACAACACATTTACCTTGTCATCACCTTGCTATTTAGGATTTGGGTGGGTGACTTGAACAACTGGTCTGGCATCGACAGGTGCAAAGAACCAGGTGGCTGCTTGGTGCTGTTATTTACTCAGAGGCCTGGAGTTAAACTTCTAGCCATGGTCCTTCAGAGATGGACCTGAGCCATCTCTGTCAGAACTACTTGAGGTATTTGATAACTATGCAAATTCTTGAGTGCAGTCCTCATACATTCTGACTCTCAGAATGGGAAGGAACAAGAACCTTCCTTTTTTATCAAATGTGTCCAGTTTTCTCATTGCTCCTGTGATTAGGAACAATTAGAGAACAAGAGTGTGCTAGCTTCCACTTCCCTCAACCTAGCTCAGTGCAAATAGCTAGGTAGGCTTTGAACTAACTACATCTATAAGGTGTGTCATTTAGGGACACATAGCTGGTGTTGTGCTTGAAGTTTGGAAGTGGGACGAAAACTTGGTGGAGGAAATTTATGTGGTAAACATTTTTCTTGCCTTCTCATCTTCCAGTTGCACTTGGAGTAAAAAATAAGCAAAGAAAAAAAAATAGGTGGATAAATTCAGTAAGTTTAGTGGTTCTGAAGTGGGAGCAAACCGAATGGGATAATTTTACTTGAACAAGAGGTGATGCAGAGGGTTCAGGAAGATAAAGGCCAGTTGTTCATCTCCACTGGAGCGGTATCAACAGGATAGCGACTCGCTCAGCAAATGAGGGTGCAGAGAAGAAAGCATATCCTTAAACGAAGCCATTAGGCCTCAAAGTAAATGGTCAGAGAATGCTGAGGTCTTCTTTTTCTAGACAGTGTGAATTATGGACTATGGAGAATATCTTTCCACAGCTATAAGGGGCATGGCATATGAAATTTTAAAATAATTATCTAGCTTTATTTTATTTTTTGTAGTATTGGGGATTGAACTCAGGACGTTGTGCTTGCTACTGAGCTAAATCCCCAGTCCTAGCTTTATTTTAATAAAAAAGTTTTGCTTTATAGGTATATCATTGCCAATCTGTGGTAGCATCTCATTACAGTTTGAGCATTTATTTTCTCTTAAAATGTCAGTTTAACTTACTTGGATTTGCCAAGACACTGGTGATTTCTTTCTCTTATTCTCATTTTCCTTCTAAGGTTTAAAGAAACTGCTTTTAACATTTTAAATACTTCATTGAAGAGGTTACTTTATTAAAGATTACTGCTTTGCCTTTGTTTACCCTCATATCTCCAATGTTAAATTGTATTTAATTAATATAATCTTTAATATGGACCTCAAAGCTATATGATAGCTTCTTCCCTTAAGTATAATTTGCCTTTATTTCTTTGTGTATGTGTGCATGTGCGCACGTGTGCACATATACAGTTGGGATTGATCCCAGGGCCTTGGCCCTCAGCTGTATTCCCAGTCAGCCATTTATGTTTTATTTTGAGATAGTGTCTGGCTAAGTTGCTGAGTTGCCCAAGCTGGGCTCAAACTTACTATCCTTTTGCCTAAGCCTCCCAGCATGCTGGTATTACAGGTGTGCACCATCCAGCCCAGCTTGCTTTAACTGCTATTGCAGTGCATTTACAGTATATCGTATATGGCCAGCTTCTGGCCAGAGGCAAAACCAGGAATGCCAACCTTGATCTTTTTTTTGGTAGAAGTTATCATGATTTCAAATAAGGCACCTGGCAGGGTCATATACTACCACAAAACTCATCTTTTACTTTTCATAGCAGTTTCTGATATTAAGAATAAGTCTAGAGGCCTCTGAACGAACTGGCTTGGCAGCTGTATTGATTTAGTAATTCCTTGACTGTGCCAACCATACTGAAGCCTGCTAGCAAGAGCACATGCAGGGATAAAGACCAGAGTCTTGGATATTAGGTTAGCATTGTCCATCGGGCTCATAGCAGCCATTGTCTCATTGTATTTGATCTCAGCATGAAAGAAAAGTGGATAGTGTCAGTTCAGTTTAGACACCTTCTGTTTTACTAAATGATATTACCATATTTTATCTTCTTTTTAAATAAAACTCCTAATAGCTTAAATTTTTATTCTGTCTGTGATTCTGGTAGTGTCAAACATGTAGGTAAATGTTACTATTTTTCTTTTTGGAGGGAAGGCTGGGTATTAAGTCTAAGACCTTACACATGCTAAGTACTCTATCATTGAGCCTCCCTGCAGTCCTAGTGCTACTGATTTTTGGGTTTTTTTTGGATAATATATGATGTTATATCCTGATTTTACAAGTACAGTTAAGTCCCAATCTTATGTATTCTCAATTATTTACATTTATTCATTCATGAGTAAAATTTATTTCATATAGGTAAATTTTAATCATAGTGTTGTTACATAATTTTCAGTTAAAAACAGTTTAAATTTGATTTAAAAATCTAGTACATAGAATGACAGATATTTTAGATATCGTTTCACTTATTTGTCTTAATTTCAAATTTTACTTAAAAATTCACAATTATAATAAGGCCACCTTAGCCCAGGAATTAAAAAAGAAGAGTACCTTAGAAAACATTTTAGCTCTTTCAAGAGCAAAACCTGAATTGTAAGGAGACCTACCTTATATTATAAATGACAGTTTGACACTGTACCCCATAGATATGTACAATTATCACATGTCACTTAAAAAGAAAACACAACTTTTTGGATTTTAAATTGAAAAGTGGTTCTACTTTTAATATCTAAATATTCTCACATGGCTTATCTGGCCTAGAGATATTTTTCAGAGACATAATAATAAGAACCAAACTCTATGGGAATTTTTAGGAAACACAGAATTTAAGAAAGGAACAGTTAATTTATTCACTTATTCCCATATTGTGCTAACACAGTTTATAAAGATGGTGTTGTTTAGTCTTGAGTTCCAGTTTTGTTTTGTTTTGTTTTGGCAGTGCTGGGGTTGAATTTAGGCCTTACACATGCTAGGCTATTAATCAGTCAACCTGGTTCCCTTTGATTTTATATTAGAAGAAAGTGATGCACTGAGAAACTATTTTCATTTCCATATGCATGGTTGTTGTTTTCCTTTGCTTTTGGGGATGAGTATAAATTTCTTTGGTTTATAAAGGACAAATTTCTTTTTTTACTGTACTCTGATCTTTTTGTTAAACAATTTAACATAACCATGAGATAAATTTACAAAATGTATCAAAAAGTTAATTGTACATTTTGATTAAGTGGAAAAATACATTAATATAATATTAAACTTAATGTATATTTCACAGTAATATATGTGATCAAGTTATTTTAGTAGGCTATGGCTGAAAGTTGTTAGTTATTATCAGCTCTAAAACCTAAAAGTTATTCTTACCACATCCCTGTTCCTCACTCCTCACATTCAGTTCATAGCCAAATCCTGTTTATCTCTTCCTGTTTTGAAAATTCATGTTCCTCTCTTCTTTTCTTCCTTACCTTAGTTCCATGTGTGATTACCTCTGCTCTATTGCATTCATTTCCTAAAACTGCTCCCTGAGTCTGTTTTTGTTTTTTTCCAATCTGTTCTAGTAGTGTGTACAGTCTGATTTATCACTCCTAATATCTTAAATGATTCCTTGTGCTGTTTGTAGGGCAAAGACCATAATCCTTAGAACTACTTTCAGCACCTGTATGCATCTCCCCAGTTTCGCAGGAAGGCAAGGGCCACATCTGTGTGCATTTGCTGTTGCATCATTGCTGGAAAATTCATAAGGGGATGATGTCAAAGCTATCACATGTTTCCAAGAATTAGATTTTATCTTTACCTCTAGAATTTGCTGCCCTATATATTTATAAATGTGACTGTTTTGTTTTAAAGGTGGCAGTTCTCATTCCTTTCCGTAATCGCCATGAACATCTTCCAATTTTTTTCTTGCACCTGATTCCTATGCTCCAGAAACAGCGGCTGGAATTTGCCTTTTATGTCATTGAACAGGTGAGCATATTTTTCCAAATGGCCAGTATTACAGAACTTAAGCTCTTATATATGGCTTGATTAAAAGTGGTAAGATTAAGCAGGTAATTATTGATTTTATAGTTGAATGAAATTATTTTTTGGATTGAGCTTGTAATTTTCTTTTAATAATTTTCTTGTAATAATTGTAATTTTGTCAAATGAGTTGACAATCACATTTGACTTTATGGTAGCCTTGATATATTTTAATGACACTTAAAACATTAGATGATCAAATTTAGATTTTAGTAATTAATATAGCTGATATTTATCTCATAGGATGAAGTATTCCTTTGACTTGTTCCATTTTATGCTTTCATTAGGCTTATGATTTTATTTATTCCTGAAAACCTCAATAAAGTTTCATTTAATTGAGAAGTCGCTTATTTTGTAATGTAGGCTATTTGGAACCATTTAGCCTCTTATACTGCCATCCGACTCATAATTTCAAGGTGCATCCATTTTACCTATACATGAATCAAGTTTATCCTTCTTTATGACAAAGTAGTACTCTGTTGTATATAATTTCACATCTTCTTTATCTGTTCATCTGTTGATGGGCATCTGGTCTATTTCCAAGATTAGCTATTACAAATCGTGCTCCTTTAAACATGGATGTGCATGTATCACTGTGGTCGGATTCTTGTAACTCTATTGGGAAGATAACAAGAAGGGGAATATCTGGGTCAAGTGAAACCTCTAGTTTAGTTTTTTGAGGTATCTTCATACTGATTCTTGTGGTGGTGGCACCAGTCTACACTCCCACTGACAGTGGAGACGATTTCCTTTTTCCCCATAGCCTCACCAGCATTTGTTACTGGTTGATTTCTTGATGATAGTCGTGCTTTCTGGAGTGAGATGGCATCTCAGTTTTGATTTGCTTTTCTTGAACAACAAGGGATATTGAACTTTTGTGTGTGTGTGTTTATTTGCTGTTTCTACTTCACTTGTTCATCTGAGAAATGTCTGTTCATTTCATATGCCCATTTTTTAAATTAGATCTTCGAATTTGGGACATCTGATTTTTTTTTTTTTTTTTTTTTTTTTTTAGATACGGTCTCCCTGTGTAGTTCAGGCTGACCTTGAACTCACTATGTAGCCCATGCTGGCCTCAAACTCCTGGCAATCCTCTTGCCTCAGCCTCCTGAGTGCTGGCATTACAGGCATTGACCACTACACCTGGCATGATTTTCTTGAGCTCTTTATATATATTCTAGATATTAGTCCTTTGAGGAGTAGCTAGGAAAAATTATTTCCCATTCTGTGGGTTGTCTCTTTACTTTGTTGTTGTTTTTTTTTTTTTTCTGTACAAAAGCTTTTAAATATTATGTGACCCAGTGGTAGATTCTCAGTAATAATCTACCACTGTAATATTTCCTGTGTGATCAGGGATTTGTTCATAAAGCCTTTGTCTACACCTGTGTCTTTAAGAGTTTTACATATTCTGTATTCCAGAAGATTGTTTTTTGTTTTTATATTTAGATCTTTGATCCATTTTGATTTTAGTTTAGTGCATGGTGAAAGATATGAGTCTAGTTTAATCTTCAGCATGTGGAAAGCCACTTTCCCAGCATTATTTATTAAAGAGGCTATCTTTTATCCAGTGAAGGTGTCTGGCACCTTTGTCAAAGATAAGGTGGATGAGTGTGTTTGGAGTTGTTTCTGTGTCTTCTGTTCTACTGATCCTTGTTTCTGGGTTTGTTTGTTTGTTTGTTTGTTTGTTTTGCCAGTACTGTGCTGGTTTTTTATTTTTTTTATTTTTGGTTTTTTGAGGGGGTATCAGAAATAAAACTCAGGACTGAGGTAACCCCCCCAACTCTTTTTCTCATGATTGATTTATAGTGTAATTTCAGGTTGGGAATTGTGATGCCCTTGTTGCCCAGAATTGCTTTTGGTTCTAGGTCTGTTCTGGTTCCAAATGAATTTTAGGATTGTTTCTCTAGTTCTGTGAGATATGCTATTGGTATTTGGATTAGGAGTGTATTAAATCTGTTTAACAGTTTTGTAATTAAAGCCATTTTCACTCTGTTAATCCTACCTAAGAACAAGGGATATCTTTCAATTTTCTGTTATCCTCTTTGATCTCCTTTTTCAGAGTAGTTTAGTTTTTAATGTAAACATCTTTAGCTTCCTTATTTTTCTTGATGCTATATTGGGAAAGGTGTTGTTTCCTTAATTTATCTCTCAGTGAGTTTGTTATTCATGTACAGGAATGCTATAGATTTTTGAGTGTTGATTTTGTATCCTGCTTTGCTATTGAATTTGGTTATTCTAGTACTCTTCAGGTGAAGTTTTTGGGGTCTTCTGTGTTAAAGTATCATTTCATCCACAAACAATGATAAGTTCTTCCTTTCCTGTCCATCTTCTTTTTCTTTCTTTTGTCTTAAGTGCTCTGGCTAATGTTTCCAGAACTATGTCGAATAGGAGTGGTATAGTAGGTATCCTTGCCTTGTTCTTGATTTTAGAGTGAAAACTGTCAGTTTTGACCATTTAGTATGATGTTGGCTGTTAGTCTGTCATAGTTGGCATTTAACAGATGAGATAAAGACCCTGTCCAATTTTCTGTAGGGTTTTATAAATGGGTGTTGGACTTTGTCAAATGCTTTTACTGAATCTGTTGAGATGATTGTGTGTGGTTTTTTTCCCTTGGTTGTTAAATGTTGTATATTACATTTATTGATTTGTATATGATGAACCATCCTTGCACCTTTAGGATGAATCCTACTTGGTCATGGTGTATGATCTTCTTGATGAATTACTGCATTGTGTTTGCCAGTGTCTTACTGAGTATTTGTGTATTTATGTTCAATAAAGAGATTGGCCTGTAGTTCTCTTTTTTGATTGTATCCTTCTCTGGTTTTGATATCAGGATAATGATGGCTTCCTAGAATGACTGGGGAGAATTGCTTCCTTTTCCATTTTATTAAAGAGTTTGAGGAGTAATGGCATTAGATCTTCTCCAAAGTTCTTATAGAATTCAGCAGTGAATCTTTCATGAACTGAGCTTTTCTTTGTTGGTAGTTTTTTTATTCATTTCAATGATTGATACTGGGTTATTTAGTTTTTGTTTGTTTGTTTGTTTTTTGGTTTTTTGGTTTTGGTTTTCTGAGATAGGGTTTCACTATGGAGTTGAGATTGACCTGGAGCTATGTAGCCCAGTCTGGTCTCAAACCCACAGTGATCCTCCTGCCTCAGCCTCCAGAGTGCTGGGATTACAAGCTTGGTGCCACCATTCCCAGCTTGAGTTATTTAGTTTTTGTATCTTCTTGAGTTACCTTGTTAATTCATGTGTCTAGGAATCTCTCCATTCCTTCTGAATTTTCTATCTTATTGCAGGTACGGGTTCTCAAAGTAGGTACTAATGATCTTTTGGATTTCTGTAGGATCTGTTGTGATCTCACTCTTTTCATTCCTAATTGTGTGAATTTGAGTCTTTTCTTTCTTTCTTGATAAGGTTGGCTAAGGGTTTGACTGTTGTAGTTAATCTTTCAAAAAACAACTCTTTGATTCTTGGAGTCTTTGTATTTTCTGAGTCTCAATTGCATTAACTTCTGCTCTTTATAATTTCCTTTTATAAGGTTTGGGTTAAACGTGATCTTTTTCTAGAAGCTTGAAGTTCAAAATTATGTCGTTTATTTCAGCTTACTCTGTTTTGTTTTTTTTTTTTAAATGTGGAAATTCGCCACTATATATTTCCCTCACTGGATTGCTTTAATTGCATCTGTAAGTTCTGATATGTTGTATTAAAATTTTTGTTTAACTGTAGAAACTGTCTGATTTCTTTCTACATTTCATCTGTGACAGGAATTTTTTATTTAATTTCCCTGTATTTATGTAGTGATTTTGATTTCTTTGGCCATTGATTTCCAGTTTCATTGCCCTATGATCTGATAATATTCATGGGATAATTTTACTTCCTTTGCATTTACTTAAGTATGTTCTATGAATTAGTGTATGGTCTGTTTTGGAGAAAATCCTGTGTGCTGCTAAGAAGAATGTGTATTCTTTTGTTGCTGGGTAGAACACTCTGTAGATATCTGCTAAGTCCATTTGTTCAATGGTTTGGTTCAGCTCTGATATTTCTGTGTTGATTTTTTTGTCTAGTTGATTTGTCTATTTGTGACAGTGGAGTATTGAGATCTCCTATTACAATTATATTAGTGCTTATTTGATTTTTTCATATTCATTGGTATTTGTATTCTGTAGTTGAGCGTGCTGGTATTTAATGCACATATATTTTTTGGCGGGGGGTACTGGGAATCAAACTCAGGACCTCGTGCTTACCAGGCAGGTACTGTGCTACTGAGCTAGATCCCTGGCCTATACGTATATATTTATGATTGTTATCTCTTCCCTTTGGATTGTTCCTTTTAACAAGTATGTAGTGACCTTCTTTGTCTCTTCTGATCAGTCTTGGCTTGAAGTCCACTTTATATGAAAATAGATTAGCCACCCTTGCTTTTTCCAGGTTCCTGCCTAGTGGAGTATTTTTATCCATCCTTTGAGTTTCAGTCTGTGAGTTTCCTTTTTATTTAAATGTGTTTCTTGTATGTAGCAGACTGATGGATCTTGTTTCTTGATCCATTCTGACAGTCTGTTTCTTTTGATTAGTGAATTGAGACCATTCACATTGATGGTTATAACTGATGCAGTGTCCTTGACGTTGTATTATTTTCCTGTTGTTGATTCCTTTTCTTTCCCTTCTGTTCAATTGCTTGCCTCACTTAGTGGGTTCATTCTTTTGGGATCCATTCTTTTGGGAATTGTCTTCCTTGTGTTTTTTTAGAATGTACTTCACAACTCTTTGGAGTGATGATTTGGTGGTCATGAATTGTATTCTTTATAATGGAAATATTTTATTTCATCATCAGTTTTTAAAGATAATTTTGCAAGGTACGTCAGTCTGGGTTGGAGGTTGAAGAAACCATGTTACACAGAGTACTACTAAATCATCTTATGATTAAGATCTCTTCCAAACCTGA